CCCCAAAACCCCAAAACCCCAAAACCCCAAAACCCCAAAACCCCATTTAAGAAATTTATTATTGAGTTAGCATAATTTTATAAAATTGAATTAAAAATGTGAGCTTCCAAAGTTAGCTATGCCAATTCAAAAAGTAGTTACTCGCCTTGTTCATATATGATGGCAAAATTTATTACTGATATTGTCAAAAATACAGATAAATTGTGCAAAAAGAAATTCAATAATGAAAAACTGCGAAGGTATTACCAAAATAATGATTTTGTGTCTACAATAAAACCCGGAATGTCGATCAAAGAATATGTACATCGACTGGCAATGTACTTGCATATCTCCGAATCGTGATTTATTCTTGCACTGGTATACATAGACAGATTGACTGAACAACATCCAAGAATATTGGTGAATTCTTACACAATTCACAGGTAAATATTGAGATTAGAAAAAAATTTAGTGTCATTATCCATTAATTTCACTCAAATAAATTTTATCTCAAATTTTCTATAGAATTCTCTCTACAAGTATAATTCTTGCTATGAAGTTTAATGAAGACTTGGCCTTCCCATACAGGTACATTGCATCAGTCTGTGGAGTTTCTGAACACGAACTTCTAGAATTGGAACTATCCTTCCTGAATCTAATCAATTATGAGTGATTTGTTGATTCTGAAACCTTTGAAAGCTATTATTCACATCTATCAAAGATGACTGGCAAAAGAGCTATGCTCAGCAACTGTTCCTGTCTCGAACCAGCTCATTCTACTCTAAATGTATCAAGAAATAGGCACCAGTGTCGATCTAAAGATGGTAAGAATCTCCCAAAGAAAGTTCTGGCATCCCAAAACATTAGTTATGAAACTGGAGAGGAAATTTCAACGCATTATGGTTCAGGAATCTCAGAGGTCTCTCAAAAGGCTCAACTACATAAGCATAGTACTTTTTCAGCAGAGTCTTCCTCTGCTGAGAATAGTAAAATTTGGAAGCTCAACAGGGAGATGAAGCAATGTCATAGTAAAAGTGGGGAAAGAAATATGCAATCTAAAAATCTCAGCAAAGCTAGTCATCCGACCGAGAACCTCAGTGCGTCCGCTGGCTGAAAAGTAACAAAAAGCCACCAAAAAATTTCAGAAGATGTTCGTTCAGGCCAGAAAACCTTAGCTCGTAGCCATGATACTAAGAAAGAGGGACTCAAAACTTCATTATATGCATCCTTTCCTTCTGATCGTTCGTCCAGAGAAGTCTTTTATACCGGTGAATATCCAAATTGAAGGAATCCAATGAATGCCAAAGAAAGACGGTTTGGATTTGAGAACCATCATATGTACTTCTAAACTTACTTTAAGGACATAAGATAGGCTATCCAAGCTAACTCTTGACCCATCTTTGGATTACCGAAGACCGGAGTTGACTGTGTATAGCAGGAGGGGCTAGAGAGTCTACTTTCTCAGCTCCCTTCCACTTTGTAACACTAAACTATAATTTTGTATCATAAACAATACTTATCTTGGGTTCTTGGGTAAATAGCAGAAAGTAGTTCTAATTACTACCATTTAACTTGCTAATAGGGCAAGGGCTTTGCTATATTAAGTCAGACAATAATTCTTTTAATAATTTCTGAAAATACGTCACCGGAATAATCAATGAAACATGAGATTTCTCATCTAAGGACGATCTCCCTAACTCGTCCTTAGAGTAGCATGTTTGTATTAATAGTATTAATGACCCAAAATGTTTTTCCTGTTGAAAAATGCTCTAAAATTTGATAAAAATCAAGAACGTAGTCAATCCTCTTCTAATACCATTAAAATTTCTTAAAGTATCACTCCATACTTAATTTAATCAAATTTTTAAGAGTTCCAGATTTTCGTCAAATTTTTAGATTAGTACTTATTTCGAAAAATCTGAACTTTTCGTTCGGGTCTGCTCCTTCCGGGATAAGTGACATGAACTAAGAGTTCTACTATTTATGACGTCTCACCTAGAAATGACCAAGGGATGAATCTCTTGGTCACTTCAGGATAAAGTCTCTACTTTTAGCAACAGTGTTGGCTAAAGTAGCATCTGTATCTTCCTCCAAAGTCATTTAGCAAGTACATTTTGCGGAAAATGTATTATCCTTAGATATTTTCACCTGGAAATATCCAATTAAATTAAACATGCCCTTTAGGCAAGATTCTTTGGAGGTTACAAGCCGGATGATAAAAGTGTGCATTAGTGGTAATTTCCAGTCACCAAAGAAGTTCTTTAAATCTTATTGGTGATGAATAAAAGTTCCTTCACTGTAAGTTTTTGTGACTCACAAAATTTTTCTTTCACTTATTGCCAGTTTTTCGAGAAATTTGTCCAAATTAAAAAATGTGTTTCTAACATTTTTAGAGAGGATGGAAGCTATAGAGTTTATAAAACATTCTCTTTAAGAAATTCTGCCTCTTTTTCTCTAAGACAAATCTTCAAAAACTCCTTTACAACATCTATCAAATAACCTAACTCAAATCCAACCCCCCAAAAACTCTAATACCATTCCTAACCCCTAAACCAACGTCTTAAGACGTCTTCACCCCCAAAACCCTCTTCCCACTCCTTCTCCCCTCAAAACCCCACAAAATCTCCATGAACCCCTCAAAACCCCCCTTCCCCCAAAATCTCCTCTCCTCTCTTCCCTTCCCTCACCTACTTATCCACCCGATAAAACACTCATATCAACTGGCCCAACAAAAATAGGGGTTTTGGGGTTTTGGGGTTTTGGGGTTTTGGGG